TCAGTGCCCCGTCAGTTTTGTGCCACGAGTGGGATGCCCACGGAGGCGAAGGATCAGGAAGATTTTTGGGATCTCTGCCCAAAACCAGACCAGGGGTGACCCTCTGGACATGGATCCTGTACCTCCAGCACCACCACGGAGACAATGGCTCCCTCAGGACTGAGCCACGGGAAGAGCCTCTGGAGCTGCCCGCACTGGGCGATCAGGTAGCAGTTGACCACGATGGCCAGGACGCCCATGGCCTCCATCACCTTCTGCAAGAGCAGTGGGGATGGGGCTGAGCCCCAAATCCAAACCCCCCTCCGGTGTCCCCTYGGTGTTCCCGATGTCCCCACCTGCCACTGGCCGATGCTCTCGACACGCTGGCCGAAGGGTCGCTGCAGCCCCGTGCAGAGCTTGAAGGCGTCGCTGCGGATCTCGATGATGTTGTTGACCAGAGCGCACATGGCGGCCAGAGGGAAGGCTGAGGAGAACAGCACCACGTAGCCAAACTGGATGAACATCTCCTGGTAGTCCTGGAACGTGTCCTGAAGGGGGAAATCATGGAATGGCTGGGGTTGGAGAAGCTCCAAGGTCACAGAATCCACCTTGGAGCCACTCAGGCATCCCTCAAAATATTCTGGGAAGAGGGAAATGGGTTCAGGACCCGGCACTGGGTGGGATTTGGGGTTTCCTGGTGGATTTTTATGGAATCACAGGTGAGGAAAGCCCTCCAGGATCATGGAGTCCAAGATGTGCCCAATCCCCACCTTGTCACCCACACCACGTCCTGGCCTTCCTCGGACACCTCCAGGGATGGGGATWCCAAACCTCCCTGGGCAGTTCCAGCCCCTGAGCACTCTGTCCATGAGGAAATTCCTCCCAATGTCCCACCTGGCACAGCTTGGGGCTGTTCCCTCTTGTCCCGCTGTTCCCTGGGAGCAGAGCCCGACCCCTCCTGTCCCCRGGGACTCGTGGAGATTGGGAATTTGCCCCCGATCCCCCTTTTCTCCAGGCTGAGCCCATTTCCCAACTCCCTCAGGAATTCTCCAGCCCCTTCCCAGCTCCGCTCCTTTCTTGAGTCCCTCAGTGCCCCTCTGGCCGTGAGGGCCCAGAASTGGACACAGGATTTGGGGACAATCCCTGCCCTSCTCCCATCCAGATGCCCTTTGCCCAGCGGGCTCGTGTCCAGCTGCTGCCATCCCCCCTGCCCCGCCCCATGGGACAAAGGTGACAAAGGTGACACCCSGCCACCCACCTCGTACTTCTTCATGCAGCTCTCCACCTCGGCCTGCGTCAGCTGCGTGGAATAATCCTCCTCGGGGGGGTCAATCCACGAGGCGCGGTTGCGCTTCCTCCCGTCCTCCTCTCCCTCGTCCTCCTCCCTCCTCCTCCTCCCGGCCCGCGCCAGCACCGCCGGCTCCGCCGCCTTCGCGGGGCTCCCCCCGGGCGCCCCTTCGGCCTCGTCCTCATCCTCGCACAGCTCGAACACGGCGGCGGGGTCCATGCCCTTCTCCACCATGGTGGGGCTGCCCTCCTCCAGGAAGGGCTCGTCCTCGGGGCCAGCAGGCTCGGCGCGCCGCTCGCCGCGCTCGATGAAGCTCACCTTCTTCAGCTTCAGCCCGCAGTCCAGCGCGCTCTCCTCCTCCGAGTCCGACTCGCGCCGCTCCTCCTCCTCCTCCTCGTCCTCCGGCACACCGCAGCCCCCGTTCAGACACTTCTTCTCGCCCCGGGAGCCCTCGGGAGGGGGCTGCGGGGGTCGCCGCGGGGCGAGCAGGCAGAGCAGGGCGTGGGCGAGCTGGCGGAGGCTGCGCAGGTTGAGGTCGCCGCGGCGGAGGCGCCGGTACAGGTGGGGCTGCGACACCTCGCGCACGTTCTGCAGGAACTGGCGGGTGATCAGCAGCGTGGCCAGCATCTGTTGGGGACACGGCGGCCGCGGTGTCATCCCCGGGGGATGGAGGGGGACGGTGTCCCCACGGCCTGGCCCCGCGGGGTTCCTGCTGCTCCCTGTTGTCCCCGCGTGTCCCTGCTCCTTCTGTGAGGTCCCTGCTCCTCTCTGTCCTTCCCGCGGGGTTTCCAATCCTGCGGTGTCCCTGTCCCTCCTATGGTGCCTCTGTCCCTCCTGTGGTGTCCCTGCCTCTCCCCGTGTCCTCTCCCGCCAGTGTCCCCACCCTTCCCCGTGGCCGCGCTGGCAGCGCAGGACACCCGAACCAGCGTGTCCCCTGCTGTGACCCTCCCCCCCATCGCTGACCACACCCGGGGGGGGACGGGACACCTGTGTCCCTCCCGTGTCCCCTCCTGCGTGTCCCCACACGCGCCCCGCCCCATTGCTGAGTGCACCCGACGGGGCGGGCCCGCAGCAGAGCCCCCGCCAGCCGGGGCTGGGGCGGGTGGGGACACCTGCGTCCCAGGCGGGGACACGGGGGTGAAGGGGGCATTCCCAGCCCGCCCCTCCCCGCTCCTACTTTGGATACTCCCAGTCTCCAGCAAAAGCCCAGGAGGCGCTTAAGGAAGATGAGGGAGAGGTGGAGGTGGAGGAGGATGGAGGGGAGCAGAGCCTCCCGGAGCTGCCGCGCGAGGCTCTGCGACAGAGAGAAGATGAGCAGGAGCTGCGGAAGGGACACAAGGGACACACGGGGACACACGGACACACACACAGAGACACGCCGTGAGCCGCGCTGGCGTCACCGCGGGCTGGGGACACACCGGGGACACCCAGGGAGATGCGGTGGTGGTGGTGGTGGTGGTGGCGGAGGGGAGTGGGGCGGGGTTTGGGGACGCTGTGGGGACCCCGGGCAGGTCCCCTCACCTCCTTGAGCCGCTCCATGTCCTTGAGGTAGAATCCGATGTAGAAAAGGCTCAGGTAGGAATTGACAAACTGGAACTGTGGGAGAAGGGGTGGCAGTGATGGGGAAGTGGCACTGGGACATCTCATCACCTTGGTGTCCCCGCGGTGGGACCAGAAACCTTCACATCCCCTCTGTCCCCCCCCTCCCCTCCCGGAGGGGTTTGGAACCTCTGCAGCCCCCTCTGTCCCCTCTGCAACTGCCAGGACCCCTCTGGTCCCCTCTTTGCCCTCATAAGACCATTCCAGTCCCCTCTGGTCCCCTCTGTCCCTGTCAAGGGCTGCCGGGATCCTTCTGGTCCCCTTCTTCATCCCCAGGACCCCTCCAGTGCCCCCCAGTCCCCCGTGTTCCCCGCATCCCCCGTATCCCCTCACCAGGACGATTTTGATGATGAGATGTTTCTCGTAGGCGCTCTGCAGCCGATAATTCTCTGTGGGGCATGGGGGGGATCAGGGGGGTTCGAGGGGATTCAGGGGGGCTCAGGGGACCCCAGCCCCTCCCAGAGCCACCCTCGGGGTTCCCACACACCCATGTCATTGAGCCAGAAGGCCACTTTCTTATAGAGCTCATCACAGGYGGTGACAATGACAGCCAGGATGATTTTGGGCAGGAAGCGAATGAGACGTGGCAACTCCTGGATGCTCAGCACGAACTCCTGTAGGGACACAGGGAAGGGATTGGGATAAGGTATAGGGAAAAGGACAGGGACAGAGGCAGGAGAGAGACAGGAGCAGGGAGAGGGACAGAGGCAAGGACAGGGACAAGGACAGCAACAGCGTTAGGGACAGGGACAGGGCCAATGTCCCCAGGAGCGGGTGTCAGCCCATCCCAGGTGCCACCAGGACACACCTGGAGCTGGAAGCAGCCGAGCATGAGCAGAAAGACGAGGGAGAGGCAGGCGAGGCAGACGGGGAGGCTGACGAGGCACTGGAACAGGAGCCGCTTCCAGGGCGGGTAATAAAACTCCTCCRCGTTGGTCACGGGGCTGATCCTCTTAATGCCCTGCATTTTGGGGTGGGAACRGCAAAGTGTGACCCTATAACTCCATGGGATCCCTCTGGGATCCCGACTCTGGCAGCTGAAATCCCTTGGGTTGGGGTCCCCCAGCCCTAGGAACCTGCCCAAGGAGTGGGATCCCCCAAAAGGGACGGGATCCCCCAAAAGGGACGGGATCCCCCAAAAGGGATGGGATCTCCCAAAAGGGATGGGATCCCCCACCAGGAATGGGACCTAGACCCTCTCCAAGGAATGGAACTTTTCCCAAGGGATGAGAACCCATTCCCTCACAACTCTGACCCGGAACTGGGGCCGGGGCTCCTCGATGGACTCGGCGGGGGTGTCCAGGGTGCCCCACTTGTAGGCGAACTCGGCCCCGCGACGCTTCCACTCCTCGAGGAACAGCGTGGCCCAGACAACGTTGAAGATGGCGAAGACCACGCAGGAGATATCCTGGCTTGTCTGGGGGACAGACGGCACCGACTGCACCGGGGTTGGTCCCCTCCTGTCCCCAACAGGCCCCAAACCAGCCCTGCGGGATTGGAACCCCCCCTGCCCAGCAGGAATGGCAGGGTGGAGGACTGGGGGAATAAAGGTGGAGGAAAAGGGATGGAAAGAGCCAAAGGGGGATGGAAACGCCAAGGAGGGATGGAAATGCCCCAGGAAGGCTGGGAACCTCCCCATGATCCTGGGCCACCCCTGTGCCCTGTCCCCTCACCTGGTCGCTCTCGGTGAAGGTGTAGAGGAGAGATCCGAACACGGCCGGGTACACCATGGCCGAGGTGTAGAAGCCCAGCCAGGCAAAGTACATGGCAATTTTCACCCCAAAATAGTCACAGATGTCATCTGGGATGGAGACACGGGGATGTCAGCGGGGCTGGGACCCCAAAACCCCACCAGGTCACCCCAAAGTGTCACTGAGGGGCTGGGACCCCAAAAACCCYGCGRGTCACCCCGAATGCTCACCGAGGGGCTGGGCCTCGCACACCGCCTGCACCCAGGACTTCATCAGCCGCTTTAGGATCCTCTGCTCGTGCAGAGGGAAGAGCTGCTGGATCACCCCCCGGGCTGCCAGCTCTGGGACTGGGACAGGGACACGGGGTCAGGGACAGCGGGGACACGGCCCTGGGACCACCCCGTGACTCCACATGGCCCTGGCGTGGTGAGGTTGGGGCAGGGACAATGCCCCAGTGGGGTTTGGGTGGCCACGGTCTGTGCCCCCTGTGCTGCCAGCACCCCAGGGGTGGGAACATGGGTGACCAGGGGCTGCTGTCCCCCAGGGCCACAACAGCACCGCTCAGGAGGGCAGGGGGTGCTGGCGTGGTGCTGCTGTGGTGTGTCAGTGCCACGACAGTGCCACTGGTGCCACTCACTGATGGGCTGTCCCTCGAGGAAGTGGATGTTGTGCAGGGACTCTCCGTGCTTGGCCCGCAGGTTCTCCAGCCAGTAGCGGATGATGTTCTGCCGCTCCTGCGGGGGACGCGCTGGCCATGGGCCCTGTAGCCTCCCGGCTTGGCCCTGTCCCATCCCATCTTGTCCCCAGGGGTGGCCAGCTGGGTCCCAGCTGGGATGGGGCTTGCTGGGGAGGGGGTGATGACCGGCCCTCCCTGTCCTATGTYCCAGTGTCCCTGTCTTGCATCCCAGCATCCACACATCCCTGCATCCCCATATCCCTGTAACGTCGCATCCCAGCCTCCCCAAATCTTGTGTCCCCACATCCCCGTATCCCCAAATCCCTGTATCCCAGCCTCCCCACATCCTGTGTCCCCGTATCCCCGTATCCCTGTAACGCTGCATCCCAGCCTCACCATATGCTGTGTCCCCATATCCCCATACCCCTGTATCCCTGTATCCCGGTATCCCATATCCCACATCCCCATATCCTATCCCACCTGTGAGGTGAAGAAGTAGAGCTCATTCTCGATGTTCTCGTAGATGTAATCCTCCTCGCACGAGAAGCTCCGCATGCCGCCCCCGAACTCTGCCTTCACCGGTTTCCGCAGCCCGATCTCATCGGCCCCACGCAGCAAACTGCAGGCACGGGGCATGGCAGTGGGGGCAGSGATGGGGACAGGGCCGGGGACACGCCTGGGACACGCTGGGGACCCGGAGGGGACAGGGAGCATACCTCTCGTAGGTGGCGGTGACAAAGAAGGCGTAGGCACGTGTGTGCTTGTGGTGCCGGACCTGCACGATCAGCTCAGGGATGCCCAGGCGGATGTGGTTGAGCAGCCACAGCAGCGTGTGGTCATCAGTGCTGTCTGTGGGGCGGGCAGCAGGCTCCGTGTCCTGTGTCCCTCCCCCTGTCCCCAGTCCCAATCCCCAGCCCTCCCGCTGTCCCTCATCCCAGGCCCTGTCCCCTCCCCACATCCCACATCCCCMMCC